TGGGGAGGGGCCCCGGGGGGCGGGGCGGAGTGAGTAGGGGGGCCGGGAGGGGTCCCCGGGAGAGGGGAGGGGGCAGTGCGGGGGGGGCCTGAGAAGGGGGGGCGGGGCGGGGTCTCTGTACCTGCGGCGCTGCCCGGCCTCTGCCGTGCGGGCGCTGAGGGCCGGGCCCGCCCCGCCGGCCGGCGCCGTAGGGCCCCCGTTCGGGCTCCGGGACCCGCCAGCGCCGCCTCCCTCCCCCCACCCCAGCTCGGGCCGGGGCCGGGCCCGGACTCGGAGCCGCCGGGAGCAGCGAGTCCGGCAGCCGTAGCCTAGAGCGTCTCTCGCTGGGAGGACCCGAGAGGGAGGCGATGCGGCCGCTAGGTGGCGCTGGGGACACGCGGCTCCGGTCCTCTGGCGGGGGGCGGGGCTCCGAAGGGAGGCGGGGAGGGGGCGGGACCTTGGAGTGAGGAGGGGGAGGAGCTTAGCTGCGGGGTGGGGCCGTAGGGCTTCGGCGTGTGGGAGCTCTGGGACTGGGCAGAGTGAGGGGACTTGGGGTTTGGGGCAAGGGAGGGGCTCTGGGACAGGGGAGAGGGATCTGGCCCTGGGGGGCAGAGAAGGTGGGGGAGCTGGGGGCCATGGAGCTGGGGTATTTGGGGGGAAAAGGAGGGGAGCTGATCTTGAGTTAAAAATGTTTGCACCTAAAGAGAGAAAGCAGCTGGAGGAAGGGGCAGTGCAGTGTACAAACCCCACCCCACCCCACACTACACCCAGCTCATGCCACAACAATGTACATACAGCTCACACGCAGGCTCCTCCAACACAGACAAAACCCCATGTGCACTCCCACGCCATATACACAAAACAGCCAGTACTCCGTGCACACTAACCCCACACCACCCACGCCCGTGCAGACAGATCATCCCTTTCTTCTAGCAAACTATATTACCAGTCAAAAACCTCCCTTTATCCCCATGGATTTAGATGCAGTTAAAAGGTGTGTCCCTGTTTTTCCTCGCACATATATCCTGTTTATAGCTTTCAAATACCTACACACTCCAGTAGCTGCCTGTAATGTTGCAATATTAACATAAAAGAATAATTCATATTAATAATAGCTCATCCCCACATACCATGGTAAATGCCTACGGATTAGATAATATTAATTATATTTTTACAATATTCTTCACTTCCTGTACTAAACTGCTGTGTAGTATTGTTGTCTGCTATTAATCAGTTATCAGAAGTGGCTGTATTTTCCATGGATATATAGTGATGGCTGAATTGTGTGGTTTGTAAAATACTGGGGGCTCCTGTGTGATGAAAGATGCTGTAGAAATGCAAGGTGATGCCATGTATTAAATCCTAATTTGTTAGGCGTGTTCCCTGTAGTGGCAAAGTGCCCACACCTGGTCCATTACTCTGGCCCAATATTCAAAAAAGTGCTTTTTCCATTTTTTTGGTGGAAAGATTGCACATGGACAGAGAGACACACACAACAGATTTCCCAGGGCACTATGTCTTCTCCCCAGCCATTTATCTGCCATGTACAATATTCCCTGATTCAACTAAAGTAGCAAACGTACACACGCCAGCCAACTGTTGCCCTGTACCTGCTCACAATATCCCCATAACCTCTCAGAATAGAATTCCTGTTGCATGCAGTCTGAATGCATGAGATACAAATAATAATCATAATTAATAATGCTAGTGACAAGTAATTAAAGGTGGGCTTAACATGTTTTCCCTGACTTATGGACAGGGATCGTTCATGATTGAACTATCATTGAACATGATTGACATGGGGTTTGGAGGGAGGGATAGCTCAGTGGTTTGAGCATTGACCTGCTAAACCTAGGGTTGTGAGCTCAATCCTTGAGGGGGCCATTTAGGGATATGGGGCAAAAATCTGTGGGATGATTTAATTGGAGATTGGTCCTGCTTTGAGCAGGGGGTTGGACTAGATGATCTCCTGAGGTCCCTTCCAACCCTGATATTCTGTGATTGTTCTAGCCAACCCATTCTATAACTTCAGAGTTAAATGCTCTTCTGAAGTCAACAGGTGTAACAGAGAAGAATTTAATCCCGACCTCTGAGAGATCATGTGTGTTTATGTTTTAAACAGATTTGAACATGACTCAGACAAAATATCCTTGTCCACACCAGTCAGGGGAACTAATGTGAGACTTCTGCTGGCAACAGCAGTGATGGAAATTGCCTGTAGTTGGCATGCTTCTGATCCCCCAGTGACATTCACCCCCGCAGAGGGGGCCGTCTGAAGGCATATGTGCTACATGAGTCTTCAGAGTAGGGCATAATAAATCTGCAAAGCAGCTAATATGGTTCAAGACATACTACAGGGATGGTAGGGGGCTGCCTTGTGAGAGGGACAGTAGGGAGGCATTACTTACTAGGTCTGTACATCTGACAAATTACTTACATCTGTTATTCTTAAAGGTGCCACAGGACTCTCTGTTGCCTGTTAGCTATTTCTGTTTTGTCTATTAGCCTGTAACAATGCTATAGGCAGGAACTGCCTTTTGTGTTTTGTACAGCATTTGCCAACGGGGGCCCGGTTGCACTTGGAGCCTCCAGGCTCTTCTGGAGTACAAATAATAACAAACAGCACAGCGCTGTGAAAGGGTTGTGACTAAATGATTATATCTTCAGGGTTGTAGCACAGTTCCCTTAACGTGCTTAGAACACAGACTGGTTCTGTCTAGCGAGGCAGAATTTTTCGCGCTATGGTTGTGTTGTAATGTCTAGTCTTGTAGATGGGAGCTTAGGTGTGATTGAAATGCTTCCTTTTCTGTGTGAATAGACACAAATGACAGTGAGTGAATGAACAAGGAGAATGTAGAGGAGGCAGCAATTGTACAAATTGTGCGGAAAATACACAGAGAAAGTCAAGAAAGGCCCAGCAGCTCAACTGGACAAAGTCCATAACAGCAAGCAGTCGAGATAAAGCTGACACCAAACCCAAACACAGGAGATTAACTTTCACTGAGTACAAGTTGGTAGAATAGTTCCCTTTAGGACTCTGGTCTAGTTGAATGTGCCGGGGGATTGGAGCTCCTTTTAGAAAGCCATCCTGGGTGAATTGAGAGGGGTAGTATTCTTTGATACACACCTAGAGACTGGCATAGGTCTTTTTTTGTTGTTGTTTTTGACAGGTGGACAGCAAAGGAAATAAAATGCTATAGAACAGGAGTGAACAGATGTGATGACACATATAGGGTAGACTGGGGAGATCTCTTGCCGCCTCTGCTACTGACTGGCTGCGTGACGCTGGGCAAGTCACTTCACAGTCAGCAGCATCATTTGAGTTATTTGTGTTGCAGTAGTTCTTAGAGCCCCCAGCCCTTCTGCTAGGTGCAGTACAAACCAATAACACAAAGCCAATCTATGCCCCCAAAGACCTTCCAATGTAAGTATGAGACAACAGGTAATACAGCAAACAGAGGGGAACCCAAGGTATCAGTGAGACAATTATGATAAATGTGATTAACAGCAGTGAGGGCTCTCCAGCTGCCTAACCATTGTTCATGTCACTATTTTAGGCATCATGGCAGAACTGATTTTTTTAAGGAAGGAGTCTCTGCTCCGTGCCTCAGTTTCCCCATCCCTAAAAAAGGGGATAATTATCTTGACCTTCTTTCCTGAAACCTCAACAGAGTTTGCGATCTGTGTAGCATAATAATCATCACAGAGAGGAAAAGCAACACACCAGTGAAGCGGGGGGAACTAGGCAACAGATGGAGGGAAGGAGAGAGGCAGAGGATAGAGAGATGTGAGCAGCAGAGCAGCGCCCAGTTCTTTCCCCTGCAGAGTTAACAACAGTTTCCTCTCGCCTCCTGTACTCGTTTCCCTCCCTGCTCGCTGCCATTGGCTGCCTCTGTAGGTTTAAGCTAAAAAGCCTCCTAATTAGGCCCCCCCCCCCCCCCCCGCTCCCACACTGCCAGGCTCCTGGGCGGGGAGAGAAAAAAAAAAAAAAAACATCTCCCTGGTGTAGCCTGGGTGTTTTCCTTTCGCTTTGCTGCGCAACCTTTCCAGCCATTCTCCCTCTGCCTGCGGCCCTTTGAAGCAGGTGGAGAACTGGGTGACCAGCCATCCCAGTGTTATGGGGCTTTGTCTTGTATAAGCAACTATCCTCCCCCGCCCTGGGGAAAAAAAAGTGTCCGGATTTTTCACCCTTGTTTTCCGGTCACCCTAGCTGGGGAGCGACGGGAAAGGGACAGGAATACAAACCTCTTGGCGTCTGGGCGACGCAGATCTGCGCTCCGGCGCTGGAAGGAGGGGACCCCAGGAAGCGGCAGGTATGTGATCTGTTGCGGACGGTGCTGCTGTGATTCCCGGCAGGCAGGTCCTTTAGGGGTGGCATGCTTAGTGGTGCTGGGACAATTTGTACAGTGGGGGGCTGAGAGCCACTGAACCAAACAGAACTTTTTCACTTCCAGCTCACCCGTCTGCCTGTTTCTGAGTGGGACAGGAAACACCACTGCGACTGGCACTGATTATACCCCCTTGCCAGCAGGCAGGCCGAGCACAGAAGGGGCAGGGGTGGACAAAACACCGCCTTCTCTGCTCCCCAAGAGGTGGTGAAACAACAGGGGCCAGATATTCAACAGAGCTCAGTGACCACAATGGGGGCCAGGTCTATGTATTTGCAAAGAGCTCAGCTCTGATGTACCTTGCATGGTGTCAAGTATCAGGGGGAGGCTCTGATGTAGGCACTACTCGATTTTCAAAAGAGCCCAGACCGGTGGGCAAATCTGGCTGTAATTGTCACAGCCGGGAGAGGGCGTCACTGGGCGCTGAGTGCTTAAAATAGCTCCCCCTTCATCTAGGTGCCCAGGCGGGAAGGAAAATCTAGCCCTGGGTGTGAGAGGAATAGCACTGGGTGGGAAAAGACCGTTCCGTCTTGCAGGGATTTTGGTATTTTGAACATTTGCTTTCATTCGGAATGAAAACTAAAAATTTTGAAATATTCCACCCAAGGGAAGTGAGCCCTGGCTCAAGTCTACCTGGTGGGCTGTCTTGGAGCCTGGGGGTCCTTCTTCCAATCCCGACCACCTCGTGGAATGCAGATCTTGAAAGATCCTGAGCCCAAGGCAGTCCACCCCGTGGGCTGCCCCATAGTCACAGCCTAGGTTCCCCGAGGCAGGTTGCCGAGAAGCCAGGTGAGAAAGCAGGGATGTGTCGAAACTTAGTCGAAATCGTTCCACGTCCATGGAACATTTTGATGAAACAGCAAATGCTGATTTAAAAAAAAAAAAAGTTTCATTTGAATTTTTCTGACCAGCATCAGCTGACACCTGTTTGCACGTTGCTATGGATTCGGGGCTGCCAACCTGGATTCTTTCAGCAGCACTCAACTCAGCTTAGAAAAGAAAAGAAAAGAAAAAAGAGGGATGTATCTGCAGATTGCTCAGCACAGCTACTACCAAACCTCTTGTTATAATGAATCACAGGTATCTCCCCTAGAGCGTTTAGTATAGTAGGCAGGTTACAGTATATGGTGAAAATTGAGTATAAATCTGTATATTCAAAAGTGGCCTGAGATTTTGGGTGCCCAGCTTGAGACACCAATGGCCTGATTCCCAGCGTGCCGAGTAACTGCGGCTCCTGCTGACGTTCGGGGTGCTTAGCACTTCAGCAAATCAGACCCCAGCTGCCTCATGTTGGGCAGCCCAAAATTAGTGGACATGTTTGAAAATGCGGGCTGTAGTGAGAATGCAGTATATGTAAGCCCCGTCGTTTTCAGTTTACCGAAAAATTCCCGGGTTTTACAAAAAGTATTATTCATCTTTTTTGGATTTTCACTCTACTTTTGTATCATTCAAATATATAAAAAATAACTTGTTTTATTAGGAAAATACCATACAGGGCATGAAATATATGTGTTATGATAGTACATTAGTATTAGTCTGTGTGTATATGCAAAGTTGCCTGTTGAAATAAGGTTATGTATTAGTCTAGAACAGGAGTGGGCAAACTATGGCCCACGGGCCGAATCCAGCCCGTCAGGGCTTTGGATCTGACCCGCAAGATTGCCACCCTCGTGGCACTGCGGGCCCCACGCCGCTGCTGGAAGCAGCTGGCACCACGTCCCTGCGGCCCCTGAGGGAAGCGGGGGGCAGAGGGCTCCGTGCGCTGCCCATGCCTCCAGGCACCACCCCTGCCGCTCCCATTGGCCAGGAACAGGGAACTGTGGCAGGGACCCTGCCTTAGCCCTGCTGTGCGCCACTGCCACTCCGGAGCCACTCCAGGTAAGCCGAACCCCTACTGCACCCCACACCCCAATCTCCTGATGCACCCCAACCCCCTGTCCTGAGCCCCCTTCTACACTCCACACTCCTCCTGCGCCCCGACCCCCTGCCCTGAGCCCCTTCCTGCACACTGCACCCCCTCCCACACCCCACACTCCCTCCCACACCTCAACCCCCTGCCCCAGCCCAACATTCATGGCCCTGCATGCAATTTCCCCACCCAGATGTGGCCCTCAGGCCAAAAAGTTTGCCCACTCATGGTCTAGAAGATACACACAATAAACAAACAGGCATGCACGCAAGCTCTGAAGTGCGTGTGCATCTGAACATACTGATGAATCTCATGCCCACCACGTACACAGTTCAAGCTGTTAGCAGATAACGGTTTAAAGATCTGACACACACTAAAATGGGAAGAAAATGAAAATCTATATCAGAATACATTTCAGAACACAAGGAAGTATTCGAAAGGTTTTAAAAAACAGGAGAAAAGGATGAAGTTGAGTGTACAGTATGCGCTGCAAATGGTGTGGCCCAATTATTAAATGTAAATATTTATAGGTTATTAGTTCTAAGTCTACAACAGTAAACTGTTTATTCAAATGCAAAGTTTTATTTGGGGATTAGAGAGCTATTGTTTTCTTAAACTCAGAGGTGGCATTGTGTTTTGAGTTCTGTTTTAGTTCTGCAGCAAACCACATTGATGAATGGAATTCAAAACATGAATCTACTGGATACTTTTCCCCCTGTCTTTCCATACACCAAAATAAACCCAAATATTTACCCAGAAAAAAATTAATATTTTTGCACTGATTTTCACCTGTTTTTGTTCTTGTGATAACAAACACTGATAAATGCCCAGGAAAAATTAAATAACATAAAAACTGAAATTGAAGGGCCCTAAGATTATGGTGTGCACAGAAAGAGAGTGATGAAAGACGAAGGTAAATCCTTATCACTTTAGTCTTAAACTGCATTTGGAACCAAGGAAGGAGTAGGTTACATTGAGCGTGACTTGAAAGTTAACGTTATGGTCTTGGCATAAGAGAGATGGAAGGTAGCATTCGTGGCCCATGGGGAGCTAATGTAGGAAAGCAAGATACAATTTCACATTCATTTACTGCTTTTCATGTGAGGATCTCAAAGCACTTCACAAAGGTTCATGTAACTATTGTTATGCCCATTTTACAGCTAGGAAAACAGACTCCAAAGGGGGAAGTTCCCAGGGTCACACAGCAGGTCAGAGCCAGGAACAGACCTTAGGAGGCCGGCCTCACCATTTTGGGTTCCAAGCACTAAGGGCAAATTCAGGCCTGGTGTAAGCAGGAGAAACTCAATGGTGGAGCTGCAGCTACTCACAGCAGCTCTGAATTGGGGACCTCACTGTTGAAAAGCCCCAGTGAGGAGTGTGTGTGGAGACAACAAGGTACTCTCCCAAGGGATCCCATGAGACGCCCAGCACCTCAAGTTCATGGCTAATCTAGTCTGCAAAGGAATAAGCCTGCCAGCAAAGAGAACGACCTTGCACCAGAGGGGCGAGCCGGACAAGGTCATTAAATCCTCTTTCGCATGGATGAGCAAGCACCAAGGCCAGTGATTAATGGGGCTGCCTTCAGAGCGGGGTAGGGGACAGGACAGGAGAGAGCCAAGGACCTGGGGAAGGAAGGACTGAGCCAACAAACTAAGGAGGGGGAAGGAGCTGAAGAGAAACAAAGGAGATGAACCTGTGGGAGCTGCCCGGCTCCGCCTAGGGAGGTGCTAGCTATTGTCATTCCCTGCTAATTGTGGGGAATTGTCCGCAACTCAGCTGGCAGCTGGCCAGATTGATTAGTCACATAAAACCCAAACACAGGGTAGGACTCCAGGGGCTGGATTAATCTCCATCCTAACCCTCCCTGACCGCCTTACTCCAGCCAGGGATACCACCCTGTTATTCCTCTCTAAGCACCATTTACCGCTCTGATGGAAGGTCCCATCCTGCCAGCCCTGAAGTCCGAGGTCTGTACAGCCCAGGCAGCGCCAATGCCAGCTCCTCTTATGTTACCTTCACCCCTGATCTGGATCATGGTGGCCAGGGTGCAGAGCCTGGGGAGTTTGCTATTTGGAAGGCCCTGGTTGGAAATCAAGGGGAAAAGCTGTTCCTGAAACTCTACGGAATTGTTATTTGTGTTTCAGTAGCACTTAGAGGACCCAATCAAGTTCAAGCCCCATTGTGCTAAACACTGTAAAGAAACATAGTAAGGCACAGACCCTGTGCAAAGCTTATAGACAAGACAGACAAAACGTGTGAAAAAGGAAGCATTATCACCATTTTACAGATAGGAAAACAGAAGCACAGAGGATGGCCCTGATCCTCTAGGCCAGTGAGACTCAAGACCTCGGTGGTTCAGGAGCCAAATTAGTGATCAACATTACCCAAAAGAGCCACAGTCGTGTGAATTCATGGTTTCATTTACTAGCTATACACATGCATATATATTAGTCTCACAGCAAAATGACTGATCAAGTATTCTACAATTGGTTAATAACCTAGTAAAAGCATCCTGTTTAGTTAATAATTAAAATCACATGTTTTAATATCACATGCTGCAGAGATCCACAGGAGCCACATTAAAGAGCCACTTGCAGCTCCCGAGCCTCAGTCTGAGTATCTCTGCTCTAGGTATTTAGGTGCCCTTAACATTTTCAAAACTGCTGCTCAGCTATCGCCTAACCCCGTAGGTGCCCAAATCCCCTAAACCCCTGCTGGACAGCATTCACAAAGCCCTGACGCTGCCCTGCAGCAAACCAGCCATTTGGACCCCTGGAAGTCCTGAAGCAGGATTCTCAAACCAGGCATGTATCAGAGGGGTAGCCGTGTTAGTCAAACATGGCAACTTCAAACCAGGCAAGGGAATTCCTATCTTGCTGGGGAGCCTGATCCTCTAGGTGTGCACTGAACACACCTACGACGTGCTACCTGTCAGACCCCACAGTGGAAGGACTGGATGCAGGCCACTGGTAGGACAGCACATGCAAAAGAGAGTTGGTGGCAGAGGAAAAGAAGGACAAATAGGAGAGGTACTGAGTGTGAGCCGAGTGGAAGGAGGCACCAATCTCTGGCCCAACAGCTCAGGACACCAAGTTAGCCATTTAGGCTCCCAAATCCCGCACCTCTCCCCAGCATTTCACTTCTGGCTACCATAGGCAGCTCCTCACTCAGCTTGTGGGCTTCTGAGGATCCCTTGCTTAGGTGCCTAATTCTGCCCTAGGGCTGCCACCGCCAAGATACAAAAAAAACCCTCCAAAAACCCCAAAAAGCAGCCACTGGCCACCCTACCACCACCAAAAAAGGCCCTAGTGCCGCTGGTGAGCTTGGGGTCCATCCTGCTTCCCAGAGCCTTCAAGGGAGTCCCCCTACCCTATTCTCCCCATACGTTGTATGGGGAGCTTGGGCACCGAGGGCTGAGACCGCTAGACAGCATGGCACCTAGGGGCCAGGCTAGGTGTTGCAATGCTGAGCAGAAAATCTGGGCCAAAGTGGTTTGCCCAAGGCCACGGCAGTCAGTGGCAGAGCCAGGAATAGAGTCCAGATCTCCTCAATCCCAGCCCAGGGAAAGGCTTCTGTCCTCTGAGGCGCATGCACCGGAGACGGAGCTCTGAAGTGCAAAGCTCTCCCTTGCTGGCATTGCAACACCAGCGCCGTCACATAGCGAGGCCAGGCCAGCCAGTCGGGGGTGCCATTTGGTCGACAAAATGCAGAGATTGGTCAGGCAAGTTTGTATCTTTTCCCTCTTTTTTCCCCCGGCGGTAATTGTGGTCTCTCTGGCGGAACCACAGATCTCCCGTCCCTCCTCCAAGTTTGCAGTGAATTCTAGAGCCTGCCACTTGCTGCTCCCTTCCTGGGCTGGGTGCTGGGAACAAGGCAATCAGTCCTTTTTGGTTTTTCCTCCTGTTCATCGGCCAATCTGCTAAGTTAATTATTGACCCAGGCACCCAACAGAGAAACCTGAGCTCCCTGTGCTAATGACCTCGGCGGAGCGGTCTCAGGCCTGGAGAGGCGTGTGGATGAGACTCAGAAAAAGAGCCGTTAACTCATTAAAACCAAGAATTCCAAAAAGCTGCACCGATGGCTGGATTGAAAAGCCCCAGTGCACCCCTTGAGATCTCCGTACAATGCTCGCTCTGCTCTGAAGTTACTTTCCTGACCCTAGGCACAGATGGAGCGCTCAGAATTCCAGGCTCTTCTGAATGGAGTCACAACAGAGGGGTGGGGGGATCTATTTCACATGCCTTCTGTAAGACTGATCCTACCCTGCGGATGATATTTCTGTGCCTTAGAAAGGTGCAGGTTATCCTGGGATGTGGGAGACAGGGTAGGAGAGCATGTTGCAGACACACACATTGGAGTGTGATGTATGTTGGAGTAGCATCTGTATTGTGGAAGGGAGTGTGTTCCACCTGGGGCGGTGGGATAGTGTAGCAAAGGGGCAGGCTGAAATGGCATTGCAGATGGGTACACATTGGTTACAAGACAGATGCCAAAGGGATGTTGCAGAAGGGGATAGAGAACAAGATAAGAACAGCCATGCTGGGTCATACCAGTGGCCCATTTAGCCCAGTATCCTGTTGTCCAACAGCAGCCAATGTCCGGTGCTTCAGAGAGAATGATCAGAACAGACCATCATTGAGGGATCCATTCCCTGTCGTCCACTCCCAGCCTCTGGCAGTCAGAGGCTAAGGACACCCAGAGCATGGGATTGCATCCTTGGTCACCTTGACTAATAGCCACTGATGGACCGATCCTCCATGAACTTAGCTAAATCTTTTTTGAACGCCGTTATCATTCCGGTCTTCACAACATCCCCTGGCAACGAGTTCCACAGGTTGACTGTTTATTGGATAGCTTGTTGGAAATGTCCTGGGAGCACAGAGACGTGTGCATGCTGGAGAGGGGTATACGTCGGGAGTATAGACGGGTCTGCCCAATGCAGAGGGGTGCACATGGAGAACGCGTTAGGATCGTGGGGTGCTGCAGAGGTACATATGTGCAACTCGAGCACAGTTCACTGGAGTTGGGAGCAGAGTGTGCTGGCTTTGAAAGTTACAGTGTGACTCCGGTCTATTAGCCAAGTAAAGGGAGTTAAGATGGCCCCTGACACAAAGCATAAGTTACAGCAGCTTAGATGCCTTCTCTGACTTGGGCCTGAGGAGTGAACTGATGCCGGTGAGACTTCTCACAGCAGCTCCCTTTGTCTGTCCAGCTCTGGACTCTCGCCCAGTGGCATGACTGGCTTGATGCAGCGTGGATCAAGGAATGCCTTACAACCCCCACGTGCTGCAATCTGTGTCATATGGCTCGTAAATTCCTCTGCTCGTTCCCCCGGCAGTGCTGCTGATCAGTCATGACCCTGCAAACCCACCACCTCTGCTCTTCCTCAGCATCAGCCCCGGTCTCCGGGGTTTCTCTCTGCTCAGCACTAGGACAGGAAAGCCAGCCGCAGAGCGTCGGCCTCTGGGAAGGCATCCAAGGAACTGCAGGAGTTGAACGAGCCATCGCATTGACATCTTGGCTTTGTTTTGGAAACGGAAGCGCGGAAGGAAGCCAGCGGTGGAACAGAGACGCAGGGGGGGATGGGACTGGTTTCCACAGTGTAACCATTAGCCAGGAGAGGTGCCCGGCGTCCGCTGGGTGAGGTGGCTGCTTGGGCTAGAGGGAAGGTTGATTAATAACAGATCTGTGGGGGGCTCACAGGGAAAAATAATCGTTTTCCACTGAACTGGAATAGACAGATTAAAGCTGCTTCCTGCTGCTGCACTGAGTGACAGGATGCTAAATCATGGGATAACTATGGGAGCATAGGGCTCTCACCAGCTGGGGAACTCTCCCCTACTTGGCCTATATGCACCACAGAGCCAGAGTCCATTCCAGCTGGGTACAGAAATCCAATTCAGGTTCCCTCCCACCTCAGGGGCCTCTCTCAGGGTCTGTCTGACTGTCACGGCTGCCTTTTAATTCCTTCCAGCCATGGCTCTGCACGGAATCCAGGCCCCGTGCTTTTCAAAGCAACATGCGCCCTTCCAGGGTCATTAGTTGAGCCAGAGAGCTCCTGTTATCTCCAGCTAACTTTCCAAGGTCTCTCTGAATAATCCTTCCTTCAGCTGAAAAACTCCCCTTTCTTTTTTGCCTTTCACTAAAGGCTCTTGAGACGTGTGAAGTTCAGTATGCCCCCGCATTGCTTTGCCTGCTACTGAAATGCAGCTACCTCTGGGGTGGAACTGCTCATCCCCCCCGGTAAAGACGGAAGGTCCTCTGCTCTCTTTTGATGCCATATGTATATACAGTAAGCTCCATATCAGTTCTGTAAGGCAGTAAACGTACATCACTAAGCACACATTATACAGGTTCTACATAGCCACTCAAGTGTTCTGTATGGGTCAAGGCACCAGACCAATTCTGCAATGCTACCAGGCACTATATAGGTTCCGTATGGGAAAAGAATCCAGGCACCATGTAGGTAAATGTCCCATGTAGACCCCACAAGAGTTCTGGTTCCAAATAGGTTTTGTTTGACCAGTTGGGCCTGGTCTGAATAGAGGCACCATAACAAGATTTCAGGTCCCACCTGAAAGCCCTCCAAGCAGCACATGCAGAGGCACCAGCCTGCCCCATTAACAGCCCTGTCCCGTCTCACTTTAGCTTTGTTTCAGTTCTCGCTTCCTGCTGATGTCCCGGCCGAGCCCTACATGGCCCCGGAGAGACAAACCTCCCTGCAGTGGGACACTCACTGGCCTCGCACCCACCTCCTCTTCGGACAGTGACTCCGGCTGCGCCCTGGAAGAGTACCTGGAACGCGCAGCAGACGCTGCCCCAGCAGAGGTAGGCAGGATTCCTTCTTCGGCCCAGCGTAGCTACTGCTTTCCCTCCGACCAGTGTCCTGCGAGATGGTATCAGGGGGCTGAGACTTTCCCCTAGAATCTGAGCATGGGCTACTGCACATGCTGAGCAGGCCACCTTTGCTGCGCCTCCCTCAATGAAGCATGTCCCTTCTCTGTTGCGCGCACCTCCTGTCCCCGCTGGGACGCTGTTGTCACTGTATCTGGGAGCCATCCTGTCACTTACCCCACAATCAGCTCTGCCACTACTGTGCCCCCCCCACTCATCCTACTCCCGTGCAAGCCCTACAGTGGCTCACGCCCAGTGGCAGGCAAGAGGGGAGAGGGCTGTGATTGGTCCCGTTTAAACCTCCCATTGCATCACGGCGTCACTCGATTGGCTTCCCTGGAGTGACCCCACAGATCCCCACAGCGCAGAGGACAGAGCATGGCTAGGGCTATGTTAGTGGGGTGCAGTCTTGCTGGGCTTCTTTAGGGGCTTGTGTCAGTGGGCACCTGCAAATACAAGGTGGGGGATAGTGCTGAGGGGGACTATGCCAACTGCTCTCCGACAGCCCTGCCAAGGCGTTTATTTCAGGCCTGGGTTTCTCCGGCAAGCAGGCTGCTAACATGAAAGAAACAAAACTTCCAGGCACAGCCTGAGACAATCCAACTCCCTTTATCTGGGACCCAGCTCAGGTCCACGGCAGGCCCAGATCTGCATTCTCCTTTCACCTGTGAGAGATTAACCCAGCAATGGAGCTTTAATAGCCTTGTTGCCACTTAAAGCAGGCCAAAGAATGAACCTCAGGTGTGCTTAGGAGCAAGAGTCCCATGCTGCTTTGCAGTTAAACTAATTTTTTTTTTTTTAACTAAGCAATAACGTTAGACCAGTGGCTCTCAACCTTTCCAGACGACTGTACCCTTTTCAGGAGTCTGATTGGTCTTACCTACCCCCAAGTTTCACCTCACTTAAAAACTACTTGCTTACAAAACCAGACAAAGGTGGCTAAACACACTAGTACTGAAAAATTGCTGACAGTCTCATTTTTACCATATACTTATAAATCAATTGGAATGTAAATATTGCACTTACATTTCAGGGCACAGCAGAAAGAGCAGCATAAACAAATCATTGTATGAAATTTTAGTTTGTACTGATTTCGCTGGTGCTTTTTATGTAGCCTGTTGTAAAATGAGGCAACTATCTAGATTAGTTGATGTATCCCCTGGAAGACCTCTGCGTACCCCGGGGTTAAGAACCGTTGCTTTAGAAAACTGCTGCAGCAGATAGTGTAGGAACAGTAACCACAAAATGTGTTCAGACAGTATAACACAACGTTCCTACCGAAAAAGGTGGGGGATAGTGACAAAAAGGAACAAACGAACAATCTCTAATCAGATCTTGTTGAGGCAGCTGGAAAGGACAAGGGGACAAGGAACTTAGAAAATAACCTAAGTAGACATATACACCAAAAGAGGGAAATAGAGAAGGATTGGAATGATAACCAATATGAGGTAAGGGTATAATTAGCCTAAGAAATCATAGGGGAAGTACGAGCATCTGCAGAGTGGACGCAGGTTGACAGCAACCGTCTGCAGCTGTTGGTAACTGTCTGCCTGGCTGGGTTTGTGCTGTCTTTACTAACTGTTAAATCAATGTGTCCACTCGGAGCTGATCTATCCGAGGCTGGTTATTGAGCTAATCCGGACTCGAGAGAGCCCCTCTCACTAAACGGATCATCACCGTTAACATTTGTATCAATTATTGGGGATCGATTGTTGACCAATTATTAATCCTTGATTTGTCAGTATTAACACCCTGGAAATCTTTTCACGTCTCTCCTGTGTGAATTCCCCAGGTATCTTCGTGCTTCGAGGCTCCCTCAGCGGACAGGGTGCCTGCTGCCACCAGGAGCCAGCTCCGCATCAAATCTCTCCTTCAGCAGCTGCCCCCGCAGGACTGCAATGTAAGATGGGCCGTGACTTTCCCATGGGGATTCTTTGTGCTGGCTATGGCTCATGCATCCATCACTCCACAGCATGAGCCAATCTCGTTCTTCCACACCCCATAGGCTTTGCCACCCTCTGCTACTCCGGCCTTAGCTCCCTCTCCCTTATCATCCTATGCACCTCCATCCTGTCCTGGAGCAACCCATTACTTCAGTCCTCCCACTCCAAAGACAACTTTGATGCTTCTCAATCCTGCTTTGCAGCCTCACTGCCCCTCCCCCCAGTATTCCAGTTCTGTGGTCCCCCATATTCCCCAGTATTCCAGTTCTGTGGTCCCCCATATTCTGCTCTGCCAATGCCTCTTATCCCTGGTCTGCTGCTGCCCCTGCTATTCGCAGTCCTGGCTCTCTTGAGCAGAAGCCAGTGATGCCAAATTCTGCATTGGCTCTGCAATGTGGACACGTGCCCATAGCAGCCAAAGCTGTGACCTCTCCAACCAGGGGAGCATGGCATCACCCTGGCCCCCAGCTTCCCAACTGCTGTGCCGCTTGGCTTAGTTCCTCCACTCCTGATTGGCCAGCCAGCCTTTTGGGTTTTTTTAATTTATTATTTTTTGCTCGGCCACATGGGCTCCCGACTCCAACCAAACTCCTGGCACTTGTGCCTACGCTCCGATGCGATGCCCATCGCCACAGCATCCAAGCACTTCTTCCACATGTGAGCACTGGGTTGCAGGGGTGAAACCCCCAATGCTCCTGCTGCTGTGATGCCATCTTCTGGTTCCTTTCCAGGACAGGTACTGCCCTGGCCTTGGGGAGGAGGAGAGGAGACAACTGCAAGCGTTCAGTGCCCGTCGCAGGCAGGAGTCACTGGGGCAGGGATTTGCATGCCTTGTGCCCTCTGCCCACCTTTGTGAAAAGGTAAGACGTTGCCATGCCCATTCCAACCTCCTTTGTTTCCAGGACATGCCAGGCTGTAGCCTGGGGCCCATCAGCACCTGCAGCTATGCCCCTTTCCCCTTTGACTGGCCAGCTCACAGGTCCCGGGACGATTCTCAGGGCTGATGATATCCATTTGCCTTGCAGTGCGGCAGGAGGTTGAACACAGGGGACCTGGGGGTTTTTGCATCCAGGCTGGGGGACCGGTCCTGCTGGCATCCCTCCTGCTTTGTCTGCCACTCCTGCCACCAGCCTCTGGTTGACCTGATCTACTTCCACCAGGATGGGAAGCTCTACTGCGGCCGACACCACGCGGAGTTCTTCCGGCCACGCTGCGCCGCATGCGATCAGGTAGGCACACAAGCAACTGCGCAGGCACCGGGGGCTGCGTGTGACTGTGTCCCACTTTGAAGTCACCGGAACTGCTATGCAACGCTAGGCCTCGGCTCCATTTAGTCCGGTATCCCCGCCATACTGCACCAGCCCATTGGTCCATCTACTCCTGCATCCTGGCTCCAGCCAATGATGCTCAGAGGAAGCTGAAGATGCCCAGTTGTACAATGCTGTCCATGGTGTGTACAGAGGTAGCGGGGGTTCCTTCCTGACCCCTGCAACAACCCACCTATGCCCTGAAGCATGAAGTTTGATCATCCCCATTTTAGCATCAGAAATAAGCTCAAATCCCCCAAAATTTGCAGGAGGAGGGGTTACAACCCAGATCCAAATGCTACCAGCTTCGGGGCTCCATCTCCACCTTTGGTGTCCAGCTGAGGTCTCCCTTGTGCCTTCTCTCGCCAGCTGATCTTCACAGACGAGTGCACAGAGGCCGAGGGCAGGCGCTGGCACACGGAGCACTTCTGCTGCCTGGAGTGCGACCTGCCTCTTGGGGGGCAGAGGTATGTCATGAAGGGCGGCAGACCCTGCTGCTGCAGCTGCTTCGAGAGCCTCTACGCGGAGCTCTGCCAGGCCTGCGGCGAACTCATCGGTAGGTAGCAGGCAAACCATGCACGGCTCTGAGCTCGGTGATCACACCAGGCATCGGGGGGTGGGGGGGGGGGGGTGCAGAGTAGGCTGAAGGGTTCTGCGGGCAGCTCAGAGCAGCCAGAGTGCCAGAGCGGAGGGATTAGAATGAATGGGAAGCAGTGGGCCTGGGATGGCCCAGCTGAGGCCTCACTGGGAGAGGACGGGCACCACCTTGAGCAAAAGCCTCCTATCCTTCTAACGGCTCTGTGTGCTGTCGCTCACTGTGCTGTGCCTCAGGTGTCGACAGCGAGCAGGCCACTCACCAAGGCCGGCACTGGCATGCCCGGGCCTCTTGCTTCTGCTGCAGCCTCTGCCAGAAACCGCTGCTAGGACAGCCGGTCACGTCCCATCACAGCCTCCTCTACTGCTCCGAGGCCTGCAGCTTGGAGAAGGCAGCGGCGTCCTCCACAGCCTCGGACTCGTCCGACTCCGCCTTTGTCTCGGCTCCATCTCCCGACTCGACGCCCGTCTCCAGGGCCAGCAGCGAGGGCGGCAGGAATGCCCCTCCGGCTCCAACAATGGGTGGCGATTCCTGTCAACAGAGGGCAGAGGCGGAGGGTACAGTCACGTGCGATCCCCTTTCAAAAGCGGGGAGGGGGGGAAATTGGGGGCAAGGAGAACTTTGATCCCGAACAGCCAGGACAGGGAATCCACAGAATTTTCCCTTAGCAGCTAGAGGCCAGGGCATGTCCTCCTGCCAGCACATAGTGTCAGGGCTGGCTTGAGTGTAGCATCATTCTCCTCTTGCTCACATCAGTGAAGTCACTGGGAGGTTGCATGATCAGCAGGATCAGAATCAGGCCCATAGGCTCTACCACGACAGACCAGCCTGTCAGGCCTCAGGAACATCTCCAGCGGTGGCCAACAGCTGATACCACAGGGTAAGACATAGGGTGGGGAAAATTCTGCCCTGATTTATGCAGCTCCATCGGCTTCCATGTACATGTCAAGGCAGAACTCGGCTTGGGCTCCAGCATTGTACGGCAGTGGTCATCAAGCGGGGGTGGGGGGCATGGTGGTGAGAGGCACATTCAGATCCTTTTCTTTCGCCTTCTCCCCTCTTTCAGAGATGGAGGACTCCCCTGATCAAGCCTCCACGCGCCCCGCATTCAGAAGCCAGGATGGCCATGGGACAGCAGTTAAGGAGAGGAGTAAGGGAATTCCCTGCCCCAATGCACTGGCACAAGCAGCTGCCGCTCCCCCGGGGCAGGAACGATCCTCCACCACCCTGCCCAGTGAACTGGGTCTGAATGGACCAGGGGCCTTGGGCGACCAGCTCCCAGGGAGGCTCAGGCCTCAGCCAGGCGGTGGAGCCCTGCACTTTAGAATCGGTTCATCCACCGACCCCAGTATGGCTGCACGACAGAGCCCGGGCCCATCGCTCACGGACGCCCGCCCACCGGACGTCATGGAGGAAGAAGATTCCTGGTGCCCGACCTGCTCTTCCTCCTCGGACTCAGACTCGGAGCAGGAGGGCTTCTTCTTCGGGAAACCGATCCCGAAGGCTGGGCCGGCCCTCCCTGGCAGGGAACGGAGTGGCCTTGGCAGGGCGGCAGGAAGGAGCAAGCACTTGGCCAGGCTGCGAGGAAGCCGCAAACACTGCAGCATTTCCTAGCAGGGGGAAGGCTGGGCAAAGAGCAAGGGCTCCCCAGGCAGCATGGAAAGGACAGAAAGGGGGTGGACGGCGGGAGGAAGAACTTGTTACTTAGCCAAGTGTATTTAACCAGAGGGTCCCCCCCAGCAGACAAGCCAGGGGACGAGAAGTAGCCCCATGATGAAAAACAGGTACAGCACGCTGGGGAGGGGAAGGCAGACAGCCCTCGGGGGGCACAGACATCCCCTCTCTGACCTCACACCCAGACATGGGAAAAGACAAACCAGCCAGCCCTGTTTGTTCTCCAGAGCCCGTTTTACTGTGAAACTCAGGGTGGGGTTGTTTACACAGCAAGGCTGCCTACAATCCAAATCTCTCCACTGCCCCATCGTAGGTTTTCGCAAGCACTGGAGATCTCAGAAGGGCAGGACACACGCGGCAGAGTTTGGCTGCTCCGCCGAAGGGGAACTCTTGCTCTCAGGACCTCCGGGCTGAGAATCCCGTTCAGACGGGGTGGCCTGGCCCCTTTCGCCAGCCCACCGGGACCGATTGAAGATGGACACCGGATCCTTCAGCTCAGGGCCGAGTGCAGCTTTCTCACCCGCAGTGAAAGCTCGGAAGGAGGATGACTGGACTTTGGAGAGGGAAGGAGGGTTTTGAAATCCCAGAACCAAACTGTAAGCAGCGAAGCGCCCCCAGGCCGGGGGTGGTGAGGGGCAGACTGTGAATGTGCCGGGGGATTCCAGAGATCAGTTCCTAAACTTCACCAATAAAGCTCAGCACAGACCTGAAAGGGGTTGGTGTGTGGATAAGAGAAGCAGGTCCCGGGTGGGACATGCTCTGCCACCTGCCTGACTGCTTCCTGCAGGAGGAAGGAGGAAAGGGCCTCACTGCATTACAGGGCATCCAGCAGGGACGGCTCCAGGCACCAGTGCAGCAAGCGTGTGCCTGGGGCGGCAAGCCGCGGGGGGTGGCCTGCCGGTCGCTGTGGGGGCGGCAGTCAGGCTGCCTTTGGCGGCATGCCTGCGGGAGGTCCGCCGGTCCCGCGGCTGCGGCGGCAATTCGGCAGCGGGTACGCCGAAGGCGCAGGACTGTCGGACCTCCCGCAGGCATGCCGCTGAATCTGCGTTACCAGCCAAACCTCCCGCATGCATGCCGCCGAAAGCCGCCTGACTGCCGTGCTTGTGGCAGCAAAATACATAGAGCCGCCCCTGCATCCAGTCGCTGCCCAAAGCAAAGCAAGGGGCTTCCCTTCCACTCAGGGTCTGTCTACATTACAGCTGCGGTAGTGGGCTGCAGCTGTAGCACCGGAGTGTGGACGCTTCCCACAATCGCGGAAGGAATTTTTTCCGTTGATGCAGCTAATGCACTTCCCCGAGAGGCGATAGCTACCTCGGTGGAAGAATCCTTCCGTTGGCCTGCCTGCGTCTACCCAGGGGGTTGAGTCGGCCTAAATTTTAGACGTGGACCAGATCTAAGCCATTGGCATGGAATGTGGTGGCGGGACAAAGCACAGTTTTGAAACAGGAGGGGATGGGAGTGCTGCGGGGCCGATGTAAGGAGCCCAGGTATGGACGAGCAGGGGAGCTGCAAGTCAGGAGCGAGGTGCATCAGCAGAGCTGGGTAGGGAGTCCAGGATTGCAAACACAGAGGAGAGGAGCTGCCGTGGGACTGAGGATTAAACTGGCCTAGGGCCATATTTTTTAGAAGAGTCCAGCTCTGATTTAGGCAGAAAATTAAGTGGAGAGATTTCCCGAGGAGCCCAGCACACTGGGTGCTGAGGGCTTGAAAATAATCCAGCCCTTAGCTCCTTTAAAAATCCCACCTCCTGTAGCTACCTGCATCACACCTTGCGCCAAGCCGAGCCGCCAGCCCCTCCTACGGGAGAAATACCCCAAATTGAATGTTTTGAAACAAGCGTATAACGGCCTCAACCGAACAGCTGCTGCCTTATTTACGAGCTTCTCCATTAACTCCCCTCAGTGGCTCAGCCAGTGAGCGGCTGTATTCACACTCGAGCAGACTGACACAGGAACGCTGATGGCGCAGGGGCAGCTGCAGGGGGCGCGCTGCCCGCCGCCTGCCATTTTATTTTTCAGAGATAAAACAATTTTCTCCAGAAAACAAACATTTCGAAGTTCAGGGAAGCCAAGCAGGGACTTTCGGAGACTCCTCTCCTTCAATGAAACCATGGGGCTCAGGGGCCCCAATCCTGGCCAGGTGAAACTGCTGCAAGTGTTCTCCCGAGGAGGCTGTCGCCCATCACTCCCAGCGTCGGTTTCAGTCAGCCCCGCCCGACAACCCCAGCCCCTCTGGCACCACTTATCCATCCCCATGGTTACTGACCCCTTCGGCCCTAGTACCGCTCGGCCCTCCCCCAGGCCGTCTCCTCCCCTCCCAAATTACTAACCCTCCCAGCCACTTCAAGCCAACAGCCCCTTTCCCGTTCCATGCCCTTGTCCAGCATCAGCACCATGATTGCAGCCCTCCACGCTGGGGCTCTGCTCCCACCCCATCGTCTCCAGCTGCAGCCGCACAAGTCCATAGCTGCTGGTTTCTCATCCCAGCCAGAACCGCTGCTGGGGCTCCAGCCCCAGTCCCCAGCAGCGCTCCCCCCTCCCCCCCATCGGGCTCAGAGATCGAGCAGACGTCTCCCGCTGTGCTGCCTCTCATGAGCGGGCGGAGCCCGAGTCGTAGCTGCTAATGAAGCGCTCCAGCTCCTGCAGGCAGTGGCCCCCGACCTGCCGCAGGTTGGCCCGCAGCGCAGACTCCATCGCCGCCTCCATGGAGGGCTCCTTGTGCAACAGCGTGGTGGCCACCACAGCAAAGGCCAGGCTGGACTGCTGGTAGGACTGCAGGGAGGGGAGAAGGGGAGCTTGTCAGACGAGGCGGCGGGCAGGCAGGTCCCTAAACTCAGCCTGGGTGCCTGAGATTCCCCCCAGATGTATTGAGGCCTGACGGGCAGCCCCGTGAAAATGATCCGAGCTACTCTACGACTCAGGCCAGTGGCACCCCCTAGGGCTGGGGCAATAATGTGCTTTCATTGATCCCTGCTGCTGTCATGACGCACCTCTGCTGGGCAGCCCGAGGACCTCTCCCCGCTCCTGTGTGGCCGTTCCCTCCCTCCGCCCAGAACACTTTGCTACCACGAGAACCTTGCAAGGGGTCAGGCTCTGGAGCCTCAGCCGCAGGGGTGGACAGACGGGCCAGCCAGCCAATCACCTGGGAGTGTTGAGACAACAGGGCCAGCCCTCAGACTGCTCCCAGTCCCTGGCCGTTTAATCCACTCCCCAGCGGAGTGTGAATCCAGGAGGAAGAATATTTTTCGCATGCCGTGACGACCACAGGCATCAAAAACGAATCAAAGAGGAGGACTGGGCTAGGAGTGAGGTTGCTTTGACTTCCTGGCACCAAACTCCCTAGTCCTGAACTGCTCCTGGCTGGTGGTGGGGTTTTGCCTCTAACCTCACTCTTCCCAACCCAGGATCACACTGGTCATTCATGGATAGCAGACACATGAAACACCCTCCCTGAACCTATTGCACCTGCTTTGAAGCCCTCACTGCAGCTGTTGATTTGGGGCGAGCCATGCAGATGACGGAGGTGGTTTGGGAGGGGAAGGGAAACCCAGATCCTGCACACATCAAGAGCCTCAATGCATCTAGGTCCCACCCTGCTCCTGGGTGAGCAAGAGGGGACACTTAGAACTTACCAGCTCAATTTCTTCCTTTCTGGCCAGTATGGCAGCAGAACGAAGGTACTCCATGGTCTCCGCTGGGGTAGCCAGAGCAGAGCAGGCCTGGTAAGGATAGCCTGCGTCCTCCTGATGAGCAGCCAGCTGCTCCTAAGTTGATTTCAGACAGGGTGAGGGAAGGAGGTTAACCTGCTCTGGGGGAAGACAGGGCTGGACGTTTGCAGGTACATGAGTGAACAGGGCTACTGACAAATTAAATCGTCCCAAAATCAAATCCAATAGTGAGTGGAGAAGCCAGGGATAAACTCTCCCCCTCATCGCTTGGTGAAAGTGGGAGCATTAGAGGGATGGCTGCAGAATATTTTAAAGCATTTTTCTGAGCTTTATGCCACCTGCCCCAGCTTCCTGTCAGGGTAGCAAAGGGGTGACAGAGACGGGCACCAGTCCAGGTCAGCTGCGATGAAAAGTCGCTACAGTCGGATCGCTGTTCTCGTCCCTTGCGTGAAGGGAGGTTGTGATAAATGAAGGGGGAAGATAACTCCCTTTTATGGACACCCAGTTAGTTATGAAATCCCTCTTAGTAGCTGTTCTCTACTTGCTTTACCTGTAAAGGGTTAAAAAGTCCACAGGTAAAAGGAAAGGATTCCCCATGGGAATCAAGACTGAGGGGGAAAACAACTGAGGAGAGTTGGCAGTTTTTCAAAGGGACACTATTAAGGGCCCAAAAGCAGGCTATTCCGCTGGTTAGGAAAGATAGAAAATGTGGCAAAAGACCACCTTGGCTTAACCACGAGATCTTGCATGATCTAAAAAATAAAAAGGAGTCATATAAAAAATGGAAACTAGGACAGATTACAAAGGATGAATATAGGCAAACAACACAGGAATGCAGGGGCAAGATTAGAAAGGCAAAGGCACAAAATGAGCTCAGACTAGCTACGGGAATAAAGGGAAACAAGAAGACTTTTTATCAATACATTAGAAGCAAGAGGAAGACCAAAGACAGGGTAGGCCCACTGCTTAGTGAAGAGGGAGAAACAGTAACAGGAAACTTGGAAATGGCAGAGATGCTTAATGACTTCTTTGTTTCGGTCTTCACCGAGAAGTCTGAAGGAATGCCTAACATAGTGAATGCTAATGGGAAGGGGGTAGGTTTAGCAGATAAAATAAAAAAAGAACAAGTTAAAAATCACTTAGAAAAGTTAGATGCCTGCAAGTCACCAGGGCCTGATGAAATGCATCCTAGAATACTCAAGGAGCTAATAGAGGAGGTATCTGAGCCTCTAGCTATTATCTTTGGAAAATCATGGGAGACGGGAGAGATTCCAGAAGACTGGAAAAGGGCAAATATAGTGCCCATCTATAAAAAGGGAAATAAAAACAACCCAGGAAACTACAGACCAGTTAGTTTAACTTCTGTGCCAGGGAAGATAATGGAGCAAGTAATTAAGGAAATCATCTGCAAACACTTGGAAGGTGGTAACATTATAGGGAACAGCCAGCATGGATTTGTAAAGAACAAATCATGTCAAACCAATCTGATAGCTTTCTTCGATAGGATAACGAGTCTTGTGGATAAGGGAGAAGCTGTGGATGTGGTATACCTAGACTTTAGTAAGGCATTTGATACGGTCTCGCATGATATTCTTATCGACAAACTGGGCAAATACAATTTAGATGGGGCTACTATAAGGTGGGTGCATAACTGGCTGGATAACCGTACTCAGAGAGTTGTTATTAATGGTTCCCAATCCTGCTGGAAAGGCATAACGAGTGGGGTTCCGCAGGGGTCTGTTTTGGGACCGGCTCTGTTCAATATCTTCATTAACGACTTAGATATTGGCATAGAAAGTACGCTTATTAAGTTTGCGGATGATACCAAACTGGGAGGGATAGCAACTGCTTTGGAGGACAGGGTCATAATTCAAAATGATCTGGACAAATTGGAGAAATGGTCTGAGTTAAACAGGATGAAGTTTAACAAAGACAAATGCAAAGTGCTCCACTTAGGAAGGAAAAATCAGTTTCACACATACAGAATGGGAAGAGACTGTCTAGGAAGGAGTACGGCAGAAAGGGATCTAGGGGTTATAGTGGACCACAAGCTAAATATGAGTCAACAGTGTGATGCTGTTGCAAAAAAAGCAAACATGATTCTGGGATGTATTAACAGGTGTGTTGTGAGCAAGACACGAGAAGTCATTCTTCCGCTCTACTCTGCTCTGGTTAGGCCTCAGCTGGAGTATTGTGTCCAGTTCTGGGCACCGCATTTCAAGAAAGATGTGGAGAAATTGGAAAGGGTCCAGAGAAGAGCAACAAGAATGATTAAAGGTCTTGAGAACATGACCTATGAAGGAAGGCTGAGAGAATTGGGTTTGTTTAGTTTGGAAAAGAGAAGACTGAGAGGGGACATGATAGCAGTTTTCAGGTATCTAAAAGGGTGTCATAAGGAGGAGGGAGAAAACTTGTTCACCTTAGCCTCTGAGGAAAGAACAAGAAGCAATGGGCTTAAACCGCATCAAGGGAGGTCTAGGTTGGACATTAGGAAAAAGTTCCTAACTGTCAGGGTGGTTAAACACTGGAATAAATTGCCTAGGGAGGTTGTGGAATCTTCATCTCTGGAGATATTTAAGAGTAGGTTAGATAAATGTCTATCAGGGATGGTCTAGACAGTATTTGGTCCTGCCATGCGGGCGGGGGACTGGACTCGATGACCTCTCGAGGTCCCTTCCAGTCCTAGAATCTATGAATCTATGAATCTATGAGTGGGCACCTGACCAAAAGAGCCAATGGGAAGGCTAGAACTTTTTTAAACTGGGAAAAGACTTCCCTTTGTCTGGCCTGTTGTTCTCTGGAGAGAGGGGAAAGAGCAGAGACAGGGCTGGGACTATGCTGTAAAAAGCTTTTTGTCAGGTATGGAAATCATCAGATCATACCTAAAACCTCCTCATGAATCAGAAAATGTCTAGAAAGCCGCGATTAGGTTTATTTCTGTTTATTTCTTATTGGCTTGTGGACTCCTCTGTGCTAACCCCAAATGCTTTTTTGTTTGGCTTGTAACCTTGAAGCTGGACCTCAAGAAGGTTGTTCTTGATGTTTAATTTTTGTAAGTGTTTTTTTTTAAATCTAGCAAAAGCCGAAGTTCCAGATGTATTTTCTTTCTTTTTGTTTTTAATAAAATTTACCCTTTTTAAGAACATGATTGGATTTTTGGTGTCCCAAGAGGTTTGTGCACATATTTAATTAGCTGGGGGCAACAGCTAATTTCCTTTGTTTTCTTTCTCAGCTCTTCCCCGGGGGGGTGACAGGGCTTGAGGGTACCCCACAGGAAGGAATTCCCAAGTGCGCCTTCCTGGGTTCCAAGGGGTTTTGCATTTGGGTGGTGGCAGCATCTACCCATCCAAGGTCAGAGAGAAGCTGTAACCCTGGGAGTTTAATACAAGCCTGGAGTGGCCAGTATTGATTTTTAAAATCCTTACGGGCCCCCACCTTCTGCACTCGAAGTACCAGAGCGGGGAACCAGCCTTAACAGAGGTTGACGGCTCTCAGCCCAGTTCACGGTGGGCAGGCACCCCTGGCACAAAAACCACCACCACCGACAGCCCTAGCAAAGCTGCCAAGAAATGAATGGCTCACGGGGGATGCTTCCCAGAATCTACTGCCTTGGCATCTGCTTTGAAGCACCCGTGCAAAGGATTCTGGGGGTGTTTTGGGAAACAAAAGCGGGCTGGGCAAGGACTTAATCCCTCCCAGGCCTAGGGTGCCAACCTGGGAAAATGGGGGCAAACAGGTCAGTTCATACCAGCTCAATTTCTTCCTTTCCCACGGGAGGCAACTCCTCTGTGATCTCAGACCAGATTGGAGGTAAAGCAGCTAGAGCAGAGACAGCCTGGTTGAGAAGATCTGGGGCCTTCAGGTTGTCTTCCAGCTGGAGCTGTGGAGATTGCAGAGGGGATGAGGGAGGTTATGCCATTCCAGAGGCACCTCCCACGGCGGCAGTGAAGACACTGACAAATCAAAGCCAAAAGACTGGCTGGGCCGTGAGAACGTTCCCCAGAACCCTTAGCGTAGGTTAGTCTTGTTGCCTCCACTGATGCACGGTTGGGGTAGCGCGGAGGATTCTGGGAACAAGCATCAAATCCCCGGGATGGGGCAGGCAAATGGAAGTGGGTAATGTGTGGGAAGAGGGCATCAACCCCCACCTTATCCTAAGGCCCCAGTGCATCTGATCCAAGGAGAAGGAGAAGGGAGGGTCAGTTCATACCAGCTCAGTATCTTCTGTTCTGATGGGATGAAGCTCCTCTGTAGTTTCAGGTGGGGCTGGGGGCTCAGCAGGCAGATCAGAGCCGGCCTGGCTGGGATGGTCTATGGCTTCGTGGCTGGCTTCCAACTGGACCTGTGGAGTTTTCAGATGGAGTGAGGAACAGTTAGATTGTTCCAAGGGAGGATGGGGCTGTGGGTGCATGAGCAAAACAGGAGCACCAGAAGCTCCAACAGTGCAATCAAACTTTGCAGCTTCAGGGCAGATTCTGCAGGGATAAAATCCCTCTGATGTCTCACAGCAACTGGGAGCATTACAAAGACTACTGTAATAATAATCCCTAGCGCTTAGCTAGTGCTTTTAATCCCTAGAGCTCATAGCGCTTGACAAAGGAGGTCAGTGTCATGAGTCCCATTTTATAGATAGGGAAACTGAGGCATGGGGAGGGGAAGTGATTCGCCCAAGGTCACCCAGCAGGCCAGTGGCACAGCTGGGAACAGATTCCAGATCTCCTGCATCCCAGTGTTCTAACCATTAGACAACACTGCCTCCCGTTCCACACCATAGAACACATGAAACGCACTTGTGACCCAAGTGCCCTTTTATCCATTCGCTACGTTAGGGGAGGGGGCAGACTCCTATCTGAGCAGCCTTGCACCTCGACGTCATCAGTGATGTAACAGTGCTACTGCTGCTGCTGGACAAATGCCCCCATCCCCATCATCCCCCTTGGTTGCACTTAGCTGTCTCCTGGACTGCCTTAGCAGAGTCTAAAGGACTGAATGGACCACGCAGATGCTACCCACAAACTTTTGCGCCAGTTGTCTTTGAAACGCCTTTGAAAGCGCCACAGCAGCTTCAAAGGCGTTTGGGACTTGACGGCAATCCACTGTCAATCAATGCCAGGTGGGCATGAGGAAGGCTCTTCAAATCCCATCTCCCCACAGAGCACCAACACGTCTGGCCCCTGGGAAGAGCTGAAAGGGGGGACGGATTAGCTCATACCAGCTTGATTTCTTCCTCCGGGAGACAAAGATCCTCCGGGGTGTCAGCCGGGACTGAGTCAGTCGCCAGAGTGCAGCAAGCCTGGCTGTGATTGTCTGCAGCCTCCAGCTGGACCTGCAGAGTTTTCAGACAGATGAGGACAGTCCCAGGGCAGGATGGGAGCTGTGGGTGCGGGAGTGAACAGTGGCCCTGGAAATGCAGACAGTCAATCAGACCAAGGAGCTCTGTGGTTCTAGAGGAGATTCAGCAACTGGAAAAACCCGCCCCCATCCCATTTCTCTCTGCATTGGGGAGTGTTGCAGAGACGCACACAGAACGTTCCTTGTGTACGATTTCCAGCTTGCTGCTGCACTGGGAATTCAGGCTCCCCCCTGAAAACCAGCCTATTGATGCAGAGCCATCCGGTGGCCCGCGTGAAGCGAGTTTGGTGGGTCTCAGCCCGAACTCCCCCCAGACAGCTGCCAACGCCACAAAAAGCTGCCGTCATCATTAGCCTCCTTTACAGTGAGTCTTGGCAAAGTGTCCCAAGATTAAAGGGGAAGAGGCTCCCCAGAATCCTTCACACTGGCTGCTTTGACACCCTCCTGGCTGTGCTGCCACAGCCATCACTAAGGATGCGGGGGTGCTTGTGAGATCCAAAGGGGAGCCCTGCATAAGTCACAGTGGGCGAGTGAAAGGAAGCGACACGCAGGGACAAGGGGATCCAAATCCCGTCCTATCCTCCTCAGATTGCAAACTCCTTTGGGCAGCAAGTGTCCCTTTGTTACAGGGACGTACAGCACCTAGCGTGAGGGGGCTATTGCAATGCCCTAGGGCACCAGCACATCTGCTGCAAGCAGAGTGAGAAGAGCCAGGTGAGTTCCTACCAGCTCAATTCCTTCCGTTCCCATGGGATGAAGATCCTCTGTGGTTTCGGGTGAAGCTGGGGGTTCAGTATCCAGCGCAGAGCCGGCCTGGCTGGAAGGGTCTGTGGCTGGCTGGCTAGCTTCCGGCTGGACCTACAGAAGTTTCAGATGGGATGAGGGAAGGAGGTTAGACAATCAGAGGAGGATAGCAAACAGTGAGCTTGCATTCTCTCTGGCCAGGCTACAGCATCATGCCATGATGTTGGGCATGAGGCTGCCAGTCCAGCACCTTTCACCAGCACTTAATTCACCCTCTCGCTATGGCAGAACAATCGCCAGCCTGTAGCTGGGTCCAAGAAAGGGGAAATGAATCTCCCCCTAGCAGGCTGCTGCTGTGCCTGAGGTTCATCTCAGCGTCTGCAAGAACTTGACTGAGCCCTCAGCAAGGAGCTGAAAGGGGAAACCGTACCAGGGACTTCTCAGCTGGAACAGAGGGAGGTGCAGCCAGCAGCTGCTTGCTGCAAAACGGCCTTGGTAAGGTTGCTGCTGCTTGCCTTTGCCAAATATAGAGGGCCAATCCCAGCAAGGCATGCTGGGAGAAAGAAGTTCCAATAAGATGGTGACCTTGCTCTAAGAGAGTGAGTAGGCACCAAAAAGTCCCTAGGGGAAGGGGCTGTGTCTGTTATCTTCTCGTGTGGCCCCACCTTAGATTGGAAGCTCTTTGGGGCAGGGACGATGCCCATCTCTCTCTCCGTACCCTGCAGCACCCGAGTGTCACACAAATCCCCCTAAGCCCGAGGGACTTAGGACACAACCTTGTCCTTGAGACCCATCCATTGCCCAGGAAACCCAGCCCGTTCTCTGCCCCGCCCCCCGCCCCTGACCTGGGGCGGTTTGGGTTCTTTCACTGGAGCTGCGGAGTCTTTCTTGGATTTTCCAGGCTTCTTGGGTGCTGCTGATTTCGCTTTCTCTGTCTTAGAAGAAACACTTTTCTTTCTACTCGACAGGCGGAAGGAAAAAGAGCAGAGGCTGGAATCTCCCAGGGAGGCCGACGACCTGGACGACTTGAACTTTTCTGCAAAGAGACCAATGGGGACAGAATGAGGCAGACAGAACCAGGGGGCAGCGGGGACGCTGGGCCTACGGGGGCCGGGCCACGTTCCTCCTCCTGAGTGAGGGGCAGGAGCTCTGGTTTTAACACTGAGACTCCTTCTGCCCTCCAGTCTGGGTGGAGAAAAATCAAACGGGTCCTCCTGGGCCACTCCTCAGCCCGGGCAGACTCTGCCACCCAGCCTCTTCTATGGGCTTCAGGCTTCCTCCTTCCACCCCTGGATCCTTCTCCTAACAGAGCCACGTGCCAGCAGTCAGCTGTGCTCCACAATGCCCTGCTTGCAGCTCTTTCTGGGACCCCTGAGATAGATCCCCGGGGATCCAGCCTCTGCTCCCCAGACTACAGAGACCTCCGTGGCAGGCAGAACTGGCAGGACTTTCTCACCCAGTGCTGAGCCACTGGAATGCAGCTCGGGATGGGGCACTGCCACCCAGGGGCTGTTTCCCAGGGCTGAGGAGCCCATATGGCCTAGGGCCTCCCTCTCTCCCCCCCGAGGGACTGACCTCTGGAAGAGTAAGACTGAAAGCGGTGGTAGTGAGGGGCAAATTCCCCTCGGTAGCCGCCTCGGAAAGGACCGCGGTGATGCTTCCAGCCACGGCCACGGTACTTCCTGGGGAAGAAGTCTTGCTCCCTGTGGAAGGAACAGGTGGCCCTGTGAGTAGCTTCTCTCGTTCTGGCCAAAAACAAGTTTTAGCCCTGAAGGCTCCATCCGGGGACAAAGGGCAGAGCCAGGTCCCCCCTGGCATTCAGATCCAACCTCCAGGGCTGGCCATCTGCTTTTACCTTTCCCCAGGCCAGCACGCCCATTTCCTCCTTCCCCTGGTATCTACCCCCCTGGCAGCCCCACCCGTGTCCTTCCCCTTCTCCCTCCAGATGAGATTAACCCACTTAGAGTGGTGCAGCCCCGACAGTCACAGCTGGAAAGCGGCAACGGTAGGAACAGGCCAGCCAGGGATGAGCCCGCGAACAGTGGGATATCCTGGGATCATTTGACTTGAGAGCAGAACGGGGGTCACGCCAGCACTGCAGGGGTTGGATGTGCTCTTTGGGCAACCCTCGCCTGGGATCCAGCCCACTCAGCGAACCTCTCTGTTGGGCCAGCCTTGGAATTTCAGAGCCTCGGCTCCCCAGGCAATAGGCCCATCCCAGCATCCCCGCCAGCCAAAGCACCCTGCTCCCGCCGACACCCAAGCGCCTCCCCTGCCGACACTTGCCTGTCCCAGGAGTTGCCATGTTCCTCCCTCGATATTGACTCCAGGCAGTGCTGGTTAGATGGCGTGGCCTGAGAAAAGGGACACGTGTTACAGAGGTTGTGGGGGCGGTGGGGTGACTCTGGGTGCTTTGCAGAAGCTCAACAAGGCAGAGCAAGGGGAGACCCGCTCACTCACTCTGCCTTCCTGAGCAAGGAACAGAGCCCAGGTGTCCTGGTTCCCAGTCACCTGATCTAAACACCAGGCAACGCTCCCCTCCCAAGGTCTGAGGATAGAACCCAGGCGTCCTGGTTCCCAGTCCCCTGCTTAATATAGTTGACCATGCTACTTCTCTGGAAGTGACTCTTACGAAATGTGACGACTCGGAACAACAGCGGTGGGAGACAACGCGCCAGCTACAGTGCAGTATAAGAGGGGCGAGGGGGTGCGCGCGCACTGGGGACACGTTTGCTCAGCTCCAGTCCTCAGCAAAGAGCCACCAGGACACGGATGTGCATGGGTCATGCTCCAGGGGTCAGTGCAGGCAGCTAGGTGCTGGGGGCAGGGCAGATCCAAGTGACAGATGGATAGAACTGCAGGCTTGGACTTGCCAGCTTCACCAATGTACGGTGTGCCCCATGAGAGACTGTGTACAGTGCTAAAGAAATCAGCTCCAGGAGGCCTCCTGCAGAACATGACAGAGGACAGACTACACGGCGTTTCTCCTGGAGTTTGCAGGGTGGGACCAGAACTCCCTTTGGTTTGTCCAGCACAGAAGGCTCCGTTCGCTTGGGATCCCCAGCGCTGTAACCAGCACCATCAGCCCTGCAGAGATTATACTAGTGTTATGCCTTCCCTCCCTCCCACCCCCCGCCCCCAGCCCCAGTCTGACCGCTGCCCACCTCTCGTGCGCACAACCCGGACCCCACTTACCGAGTGCCACCCATCCCTGAAGCCTTCCTCAGGTATCCCGGATTGGTTCTCCCACCTGGCTGGCTGCTGATGGTCCTGGGGTGCCCAGCACCCGCCGTTGTCACCCCCGTAAAAGTCAGCGGGGTAGGGTTCGATGTCTCGGGAAAAGGGCTGCAAAGACCCAACACGTAGGGTGAGGGCAGTCCTGAGTGAGACACACGGGGATGCACGACCTGCCCTTGTGTCACAGGGACAGAGATCTCATTCACAAGGATTGCCAGACTGGATCAGACCCGGGAGGGGGGCCATCTACTCCAGCATCCCGTCTCCATCAATGACCAGCACCAGCTGCTTCAGAGGAAGGTGCAAGAACCCCTGCAATGAACACTATGGAATAACTGGCCCAGAGGGGAATTTTCTGCCTGACCCCATCAGTTAGTGGCTGTCTCGACCCCTGAAGCCTGAGGGTTTGTAGCCTTTACATGGTATTTTTATCCTATGGACTACACCTTTGGAAGCTCTCACTGCCCCTATTAATGTCTCATCCTATTGGAAATCCTACAGAGCTCTTGCCCTCTGTATGATACCTTGTGGCAATGAGTTGCACAGGTTAATTTATACACCCGGACTAAACAGCATTTCCTTTTAGGAGATTTCAGTTTCCTTCCAAGGTCATTGGCTGTCTCCTTGTTCTTGGACCGGCTGGGAAGGTCAGCGGGCACCCCCAAATCTACCGTCCCCCCCATTCCTTATTTTACAACCCTCTCTCAGGGGTTCCCTCCTTGTTAAATCAGAGGGAAGGTGGGCAGGGGTGGTTTCAAAGGGAGCTCCCGGGGGGGGTCAGCTGAAGGAGTGCTATTCCACAGATGGGGACACCTAAGCACAAAGGTGCAGCGACTTGCCAAAGGTCCCACAACGAGTCAGTGGCAGAATCAGGAACAAAACCCAGGTGTCCTGACGCCCAGGCCCCTACTCTAAACTCCAGACCAGAACGTGGAGTGAACTGTATGAAACCGGATGGCTTGGAGCGGCAGCACTAAGAGGAACACCACCAGTGGGGACAGGGGTCTCGAGTCCAGATAGAAGCCTCCGGCCCTTTCCCTCCCAGGCAGGTGGCAATCTTCTTCCTCTGCCCGCCCCCCTTCAACTGGGGGGCATTAGCACTTCACGCTCTTGCTAACCCCCACAAGCCTGATCAGCCCCCCTGCCCTCCTTGCTCTTGCTGGGAGAGAGTCAAGCCCCCACCGGTGTAACACCATGGCCTGCTCCCAGACTTCATAGCCCTTGGGTGGCAGAGGCTGGTCAGGACACCAGCAAAAGGCAGTGCTGACCCTCAGACCCTGCCGGGGCTCCCCATTCTCTGCCCTGTGCTCCTGACCTGCCCCACCTCCGACGGTTAGTTCCTGACCCCCTTAATACTGGGGTCTGAATTCCTCGTTTCCTACCCCTCAGGAAGGCTCCGTTCATGGGCGTTCCCCCCATGGAGCCGTGACCAGCTCGAGCAGCCAAGCAGAGATTGCTTTGGTCACTTCCAGACAAACCAGGAATTCTCCCTGCCACCCACAGCCCTCGCACTGTCTGCATGAGCACAACGGTGCACCAAGGCTCAGCCTGGACCCCACTTACCGAGTGCCAACCACCCCTGAAGCCTTCCTCGTGCCTCCCGGGTTGGTTCTCCCACCTGGCTGGCTGCTGATGGTCCTGGGGTTCCCAGCACCCGCCCTTGTCACCCCCGTAAAAGTCAGCGGGGTAGGGTTCGATGTCTCGGGAAAAGGGCTGCAAAGACCCAACACGTGGGGTGAGGGCAGACCTGAGTGAGATACACGGGGATGCACGACCTGCCCTTGTGTCACAGGGACTGAGATTTCATTCATAGGGATTGCCAGACTGGATCAGATCCGGGAGGGGGCGGCAGGGGGCATCTACTCCAGCATCCCGTCTCCATCAGTGAGCAGCTGCTTCAGAGAAAGATGCAAGAATCCCTGCAATGAACACTATGGAATAACTGGCCCAGAGGGGAATTTTCTGCCTGACCCCATCAGTTAGCAGCTGTCTTGTACCCTGAAGCATGAAGGTTTGTAGCCTTTACATGGTCTTTTTATCCTGTGGAATGTAACTGCAAATATTCACATTATCCACATCAGTAAAATGTCTATTTCCCTTTGAACCTGACTGGACTCTAGGCCCTGGGTTAATTATGTGTAGTGTAAATACAAGGACCTGCTCCAATCAGTTTTAATCAATGTCCCCTTGTTCCCGTGTGATGACGGAAGATGAACAGGAGCGACCCATTTACCTTCTCTCAGCCAGTCACTGTTTTGTGCCCCACCGTTGCTGCTTCACCACAGCAGCAAGGAATGCATCTGGGGCACTTAACTGCGAGGTAGGTGGGCAAGCCCTGTTTGTTTGTGGTTAACTGCTGGGGGATCCGAGGCAAGAAGAGGTCGAGTGACTTGCCAAGGGTCACACAGCGAGTCAGTGGCACAGCCAGGATTAGACCCAGGTGTCCATCCACCCAGGCCCCTGCTAGGGCACTCTGCCTCAATGGGAGTGAGCGGCAGGAGTGGCCTGGAACAGAAGCAGCCAGAGGCAGGCGACACACCTAAGATGTTCTGCTGGGATGCATTAGCAGGAAGGATACTGGCTGGTCCTCAGGGGGTGAATCAAGCCCTGGGCATGTAACACCTTGGCCTATTCCTATGGCTTGGTGGGTTTGTGACCCCTGGGAAGCAGGGCCAGATCAGGACTCCTGGCAGAGCCAGTCTGGACCCCCTACCCCTCACAGGGTCACCCCTACCCCGCTGCCCCCCTGTCTTCCTGACCAGCCTAACATCCTTCCCGCCCGGGTTCAGGAAGGCTCCACTCATTTGCATGCAGGGCCAAGCAGCGATTGCTTATGCCTGCCCCAGGAATTCTCCCCGGGACATCGTCCTCACTACCCACGTCCCCTGCTCCTGCCCTAGCCCCAGCTCAACTGCAGCCCACCTCCCACACCCTGCCTGGGCACAACACCCCTCCAGGCTCAGCCCAGACCCGCTTACCGAGTGCCACCTGTCCCTGAAGCCTTCCTCGCGTCTCCCGTGTCGGTAATCCCAGTTGGCTGCCTCCGGATGGTCCTGGGGCGCCCACCCCATGCCCTCGTCATCCCTGCGAAAGTCGTCAGGGTAGGCGGAGGGGCTGATGTCCTTACGGCAGGGCTGCAAAGATGATACATGTGGCACAGGGCGGAGGGCAGCGATGAGCATGACACATGGGGAGGCAGGATCTTCTCCTTTACCTCAGTGCCAGCCGTCTCCTTGCTGCCTCTCAGCAGGTGGATCGCGGGGGGCACAGTTACATGGGTGGGAACTGGTACATTTTTAACCTACCCCTAGACGGAAACTCCTCTTATTCCACACGTTCTTCCCATTCCCAAAGCATCACAGCAAACACGAGACAAGTCAGCAACGAGCCCCCTGAAGGTGCAGCTTCTGACGTAGGCAGGCCAGAGCTGTTCCCAGTGCCATGACAAGGCCTGGCTGAGACTCGGATTTACACCAGAGATGGAGCTTGCTGTGTAGCTCCAAAAGAGGTGTGACTGGCCCCCAAGTTCATCTCAACTGACCGTTAACTCTGGAGCCGAATGAGGGGGACGTACAATATTTGACACCATCAGCCATTTCGCTGCTGGCTTGCATTGGTGGAAACAACCCAGCTATTCAGGGAGCCTGGGCAGGGACTGGGTGGAACACCACCATTTCCCTCCCCCGTACACACTCCCGCTTGGAAAGAGAGGAAAGTAGACTGAGAACGGAGAAGGCCAGGTGTTTCCTGTCACTGGTGACCTTATCGTTCTGTCCATGCTTACAACTCCCCGCTCTCCCCAGCCATGTCCAGGGCTCGCTGAACCATTTGGAAATTAACTCTTTGTCCCCTGTGGAACGAGCCAATTCTGCAATGGTCCCACCTCTGCCCCGAGCACCAGATTACGCCATCTCCTCCCGTCCAAACCACTTACATGGAAGAAACCATTTGGGTGCCCTCTTCCGGGGAACATCCTGTTGCTCAAGGCGAAACCCCTCCTCGTTCAAGCCCTGGGAGAAAAGGGGTGGGGAGGGAAATGTGTTGTGAGTTCAATTGATTAACAACTGAAACCCTACATAACTCAGTCAATCAATCAGCACAGACAGACAGGCCACACATTCCCAGTCCAGAGAACAGGGGTAGTGACAGGGCCCCGCTATTCCCAAACTACCCTCCAGACCTCAGCCCTTCATACCCCACTTGTTTATCACCGCTGAAGCTTGGCGGTTAGCTACACCGACTTCCTTGGCCATTTCAGCAACACTCCTCGCTTTGCCTGTCCCTGCCCTTAGGGCATGTCTTCTACAATTCAGTAGGATCACAGACCTATCTGCCACACCAAAGTGAGCTGCTACTAATTTTCCATGATTTCTCTTACAATAATTATGCAACAGTTTGTTGGTAACCCAGACAGTCAATTGCTTGTTATGAAATATACTCAAGAGAGTAAATAACCAAAGTCAGTCACATTTATGGCTCAAAGTCAGTAATAGTGGAATAGAGGAAAAAAGGTTCAGTACAATACCTTTCCAGGAAGCAGGCTCATGCAGCGTGGTTACAAAGAAGGCAGGGGTCCAAACTTACACCCCTCAAGCTATCCTTTTTCTGTCCAACCCGTTCACAAGTAACAAGATACTGTATGCATCATCTGAGGCTAGATTTAACCAATCATCTTTCTACCTTGTTTTTCTGGTACCATGCTGTACCTGTTAGCTCTCTGTTCTGAACTCAGGCATTCCAGATCCCAAGGGCGGGAAGGCACGCCCTGGCCTTGTACCAGAGTAGAACACTCATATATCTTGTCCTTATCTTTAAAAACAACAAGGAGTCTGGTGGCATCTTAAAGACTAACAGATTTATTTGGGCATAAGCTTTCGTGGGTAAAAACCTCACTTCTTCGGATGCATAGAGTGAAAGTTACAGATGCAGGCATTATATACTGACACATGGACAGCAGGGAGTTACTTCGCAAGTGGAGAACAAGTGTTGACAGGGCCAATTCAATCAGGGTGGATATAGTCCCCTCCCAATAATGGATGAGGAGGTGTCAATTCCAGGAGAGGAAAAGCTGCTTCTGTAATGAGCCAGCCACTCCCAGTCCCTATTCAAGCCCAGATTAATGGTGTTAAATTTGCAAATGAATTTTAGTTCTGTTGTTTCTCTTTGAAGTCTGTTTCTGAAGTTTTTTTGTTCAATGATAGTGACTTTTAAATCTGTAATAGAATGACCAGGGAAATTGAAGTGTTCACTTACTGGCTTATGTATGTGACCATTCCTGATGTCTGATTTGTGTCCATTTATTCTTTTGCGTAGGGACTGTCCGGTTTGGCCAATGTACATGGCAGAGGGGCATTGCTG